GAGAATGGCGTGAACCCGGGAGGCGGAGCTTGCAGTGAGCCGAGATCACGCCACTGCACTCCAGCCTGGGAGCACAGCGAGACTCCGTCTCAAAAAAAAAAAAAAAGTGATTCTTCTGCCTCAGCTTCCCGAGTAGTTGGGACTACAAGTGCACACCACCATGCCTGCTAATTTTTGTATTTTAGAAGAAAGCTGGGTTCACCATATTGGCAAGGCTGTCCCCTTACACTACCCTGGCAAAAGTGGAGCACTTGGCAAGGCTGGTCTCGAACTCCTGACCTCGTGATCCTGCCTCATTGGCCTCCCAAAGTATTGCGATTACAGGCGTGAGCCACCACGCCTAGCCAAAATTGCTACTTTCATAGCTTCTTTCTAAAGTCATTCTTCATAGGTTTCCACCTCCCCAGGGTCCTGTTTTCTTTACTCTTGTCATGTAAGTGTTAAGAGACCCACACCAGATGCTGTTATATTATGAGTGATATTTTATTAAAGAGAGGGTGATAATTTTTCACTCTGCTTTTATAGAAAAGGAAAACTATCTAGATTGCAACTCTTTGCTGAATATTACTTGAAATTTATACACAATTAATAATGTAGTCAGCTTTCTAGCCACAGCTATAGCATCTGTGCCTTGAATACATACTTTTCAGAATTGTTTTTTTCCAAAAGCATGTATCACTTCCGTGGAACTCAGTAGCATTTTGAAATAGTGGTTGGAACTTCCCGTAGAGACATAAAGAGATCTTTGATTGCTTAATAAGACTTGAAAGACCTTCCTTATGATGATTCCTTAGGATTCTTAAAAGCTCTAAGATATTTTCTAATTAGATTTTTGCTGAATGTGTTATGGAGTTAAAATAGAAAGGTAGATTTTCCAAACTCAAAATACTTTGGTGACCAATTGCAAAATAAGAAACAAGATGGCGGCAAACCATATGGGCTCGATAGATCTGTTTTTGAGAGGAAGACTGAAAAATCTTTTCTCTAGTAGACTTTATCTAGTGGGTATATAGCTGTGAGAATTACATTTACCTAACAACTGTTGTCAGCTGTATAAATTGAATTTCGTTTTCTTTTTTTTTTTTGAGACTCCCTCTGTTACCTAGGCTGGAGTGTAGTGGCGCCATCTCAGCTCACTTCAACCTCTGCCTCCCAGGTTCAAGTGATTCTTGTGCCTCAGCCTCCCAAGTAGCTGGAATTACAGGCATCTGCCACCACACCCTGCTAATTTTTGTATTTTAGTATAGACAGGGTTTTGCTATGTTGTTTAGGCTGGTCTTAAACTCCTGGCCTCGACTGCCTGCTTCAGACTCCCAAAGTGCTGGGGTTACAGTTGTGAGCCACTGTACCTGGCCTGGATTTAGTTTTTATTTTAAACTGCATCTATTTGAAAAGTTACACTATAGTGATTAGGTCCCACCTGAGTTGCTTTTAATCATATTTTCCCACACAGACCCTAAATTGGCTACTTTTTAAAACTGTGGCATTTTCCATAAACTCATCTTTTTCTAAACAAAGTGAAATTTCCAGTGAGAATTGAGAGACATGGTTAATCACATTGGATTGGCACTTGTACGTTACGCTGAGTTGCTGTAGAGTTTTTGTCAAGGTTTGTGTATCTGAAGTCATTTCATTTTAAGAGGAACGAAAGTATGCTAAAGACCACTAATTAGCTATGTGACCTTTGGTCAGGTACTCTTAATTTATTGGGCACCTATACTAAGCATCGTTAAATGAGTTTTAATAAAACAAATACTAGCCCTGCCTGGATCACCATAGGGTTGCACTACCTCTCTACCCTATACAACTCTGTGTTTTTACACCTGTGCCATTGTATTGTAAGTCTTTTTTTTTTCCAGATATATTCTGTTTGTGTATTTTTTTCTCTTTTTTTTCCATTGTCTTTATGTCTATAATTAACTCTATTTTTTTGTGCTGTGTATTCCCGAAGCTAGGGACCAAATATTCATATTATAGATAATAAAGGGCTTCAAAAACTGTAAAACCGATAGACATTTTGGACATTATAACACTCGATCTTAATTCTATCATCTTTTTTGGCAGGCAATTCCCTGTTGAGGTGTGGTATGAGGGCTGGGTAGATAAGAATGTTCAGCCTCCTACTGGGCTCCCCTTACACTACCCTGGCAAAAGTGGAGCACTGACTTATACCGCCTCACATTGTAGACGGGGGAGGTGGAAGTTCAGCTTCCCCCTTGGTCCTGTGTCACCTTCTTGGTGAAAGTAGGACACAATTGCACCACCTGACTTGCATCACCTCATTGCCTCCTAGTGGCGTTACAAGCTTGGTTCCCTGCTGACTGACACCTGGGAAGGGGTTGTGGGCACCTCAGGGCACCTCTTTGTGCCTGTCAGTGCCAGACGGGGATGGAAGCTGAGCTCACTGCTGGATCCTGATGACAGTACCCTACTTAGCCTGGTCAGCCCCACTGGGTAGGGGAATGGGAGTGCTGCTGCCTGCTTCCATGGGAGCAGGGTAGACGATCACCTCCTGTTCAGCCCCACTGAAACCATGGGGGAGGGGGAGTAACAGTTTTTCTGTTGGTGTCTACTTGTATGGAGTGGATGTTGCCAAGAAGATTTCTATTTTGTGAGCTATGTCCTTCTCAGTCTTTGCGCTAGGGGCAACAGACTTTACTGGGAGTTTTGTTTTGTTTTGTTTTTTAACTCTGTTCCTGTTAGCAGTTTCGTGTTGGAGGCTTCTGCAATGTCCTGTCCAGGATATGTGGGAGGCAATAAAGAAATCCAGGAACTCATTGCTGTGTTGTTCTTTAAATCCTGAGGTCCTTAGGTGGTCCACCACCTTCTTTCCGTCATTCCGAGTCGTCCTATGCTTGCTGTGTCCACGACTTTTCAGTTGTAAATGGAAGGACCTAGGAGCAATGGGACTACGCTTTCTTGGCCAGAACCAGAAGTCATGTCTTTTTTTCAAATGGAGAGGCTAACCCTTTTAATCAATTATGAGTGAAAGCAGCAGCAAGATATATGTAATTATATGTATATATAGTGGGGTCTTGCTCCACTGCCCAGGCTGGAGTACAGGGAAGCAATCATGGCTTACTGTAGCCTTGAACTCCAGGGCTCAAGCAATCCTCCCACCTCAGCCTCCTGAGTAGCTGGGACTACAGGCACAAGCCTCATGCCTGAGTTAAATTTTTTGTATAGACAAAGTCATGCTGTGTTGCCCAGGCTGGTCTCGACCTCCTGAGCTCAAGAGATTCTTCTGCCTCATCCTCCCAAAGTGCTGGAATTACAGGTGTGTACCACTGTACCTGGCCAAGGCAGTGATTTTCAAACTGAATTCTCTTAGGTGTCTATTTTTTTTTTCTCCAAAGTTCTTGTTAAGGGGTCTACTTTATTTATTTATTATTTATTTATTTATTTATTTATTTATTTGAGACGGAGTCTCCTCTGTCGAAGGCTGGAGTGCAGTGGTGTGACCTCAGCTCACTGCAACCTCTGCCTCCCAGGTTCAAGCGATTCTCCTGCCTCAGCCTCCTGATTAGCTGGGATTACAGGCATGTGCCACCACACCTGGCTATTTTGTATTTTTAGTAGAGACGGGGTTTCATCATATTAGCCAGGCTGGTCTTGAACTCCTGAGCTCAGGCAATCCACCTGCCTCAGCCTCCCAAAGTGCTGGGATTACAGGCGTGAGCCACCATACTTGACCTCTTAATTTTTATTTTTAAAAAAGGGTTTTGAAGATAAAATAAAAAACTTGAACATGATTGCTCTAGCACACTCCACTAAAAATTAAATCCAGAATTTGTTTTTCCATGCCTGTCTTTCACAGCTAAACTTTGATTTATTGGGGAGCTGGGACTCTATTTCTGTTTTTCGAGCACTTGAACATGGCCAGCATGTGGTACCTGTTCAGAACATGTTTGTGAAGGGATGGAATCATTTATGCAGCTCCATCTTCTCTGCCCTTGTAGTTCCTTTACTCCATCCTCCATCTTAGGGAGTTTTTTTCTCTTGCTAGGTATCCTGGATACAGCCATCGTTGATCGGGGGAGGAATGTGGTATCTGGTTCTCGAGATGGGACAGCACGACTTTGGGATTGTGGGCGCTCAGCCTGCTTGGGAGTCCTTGCAGATTGTGGTTCTTCCATCAATGGAGTGGCGGTGGGTGCTGCTGACAACTCCATAAACCTTGGCTCCCCTGAGCAGATGCCCAGTAAGTTGATAATGATATGTAGGATTGTTTTTTTTCTTGGGCCCCCTTCAGTGATTGCCTTAGTTTCTCTATTTCTTCCTCATCCTTTTCTGCTCTGTACCTGGTATTTCTGTTTTCACCATACAATTAATATTTATTCTGTACCTACTATGTTTCTATTGCTTTGGAATCTACAAAGGAAGTATATGTCATAGCACTACATTTCAGTAAGTACAATCTAATTTAGCAGATGAGATTAATGCCTGTAAAACAGGGGTGTCCAATCTTTTGGCATCCCTGGGCCACATTTGAAGAAGACTTATCTTGGGCCACACATAAAACACACTTAACATTGATGATAGCTGAGCTAAAAATAAATAAATAAATCTCATAATATTTTAAGGAAGTGTATGAATTTGTGTTGGGCCTCATTCAAAGCCTCCCTGGGCTGCAGGTTGGACAAGCTTGCTATAAAACATTTAGAGAACAGTAACATTTGGCTGAACTAATTAGTGATTCTTTTTATTTATAATATTCTTTTAGTGATAGAGTCCTGCTGTTTTGCCCAGGCTGGCCTTGAACTCCTGGGCTTAAGTGATCCTCCCACCACAGCCTCCCTAATAGCTGGGACTATAGGCATGTACCACCATGCCTGGCAAATTAGCGAGTCCTAATGCAAATATAATAGGTTTTCAGAGGGATGGAGTGTTCCCGGTTAGTATAGATAGGAAAGATGTCACAAAAGAAGTTGGCTTAAGCCTTTAAAGGGTAAGTTCAAGTTGAACAGACAGGAATGGTAAGGATAGGACAGTGGGAGCTAGGGCAAGGGGTAGGTGTAGGGGCAGTTTGCATTACAGCTTGGACATGAAACTGAGTGTTATATAAAAAGATACGCTTGGCTGGGCTAGAAAGTTGAATTAAGAGGGGTAGTAGTAAGAAATGGGTTGAATAGCTGTGGTGAGAGGCTAATAAAGGTCCTAATAAGGCAACTTTCATTCTTATTTTCCCATAATAATGGTTGCATCTTTGTTCCGTAGGACAATTTTTTTTTTTTGAAACGGAGTCTTGCTCTGTCGCCCAGGCTGGAGTGCTGTGGCAGGATTTCAGCTCACTGCAAGCTCTGGTTCCTGGGTTCACGCCATTCTCCTGCCTTAGCCTCCCAAGTAGCTGGGACTACAGGCGCGTGCCACCACGCCTGGCTAATTTTTTGTATTTTTTAGTAGAGACGGGGTTTCACCATGTTAGCCAGCATGGGACAATTTTTTTTTTTCTACCATTGTCTTAGCCCTTCATTTAAAAAAATAGACCTTATTTTTTAGGGCCATTTTAGGTTCACAGCAAAATTTAGCAGAAAGTACAGGGGCCTGGGCGTGGTGGCTCACGCCTGTAATCCCAGCACATTGGGAGGCCAAGGAGGGCGAATCACAAGGTCAGGATTTTGAGACCAGTCTGGCCAACAAAGTGAAACCCTGTCTCTACTAAAAATACAAAAATTTAGCCGGGTGTGGTGGTGTGTGTCTGTAATCCCAGCTACTCAGGAGGCTAAGGCAGGAGAATCGTGTGAACCTAGGAAGTTGAAGTTGCAGTGAGCTGAGATTGCACCATTGCACTCCAGCCTAGGTGACAGTGTGAGCCTCTGTCTCAAAAAAAAAAAGTACAGGGAGTTCTTATATACCTTTTGCCTTACCCACCCACACATAGCCCTCCTCACTATCAACATCTCCCACCAGAGTGGTACATTTGTTGCAGCTGATGAACCTACATATGACACATTATTATCATCCAAAGTTCATTCTTGGCGTTATACATCCTATAGGGTCTGACAAATGTACAGTGACATGTATTCAGCATTGTAGTATCATACATAGTAGTTTCTTAGCCCTAATAATCCTCTGTACTCTGTTCAAGCAGTTCTCCTGCCTCTCAGCCTCTTGAGTAGCTAGGACTCTAGGCATGCACCACTACACCTATCTAATTTTTTTTATTTTTTATTTTTGTAGCGACAAGGTCTCACTATGTTGCCCAGGCTGGTCTTGAACTCCTGGCCTCAAACGATCCTCCCATCTTAGCCTCCCAAAGTGCTGGGATTACAAGTACGAGCCACTGCTGCTGGCCCTAAAGTAATTTAAATGAAAATATTGTTTCTCGTTTTCTGTACTTTTTCATTTCCCATTTATTCTTCAGCCCATTCTAGGATGGTTTATGCCCAAGTACTTGACTGAAATGGCTGTTGTTAAAGTCACCAGTGACCTTCCTTTTTTTTTTTTTTTTTTTTTTTTGAGATGGGGTCTTAGTCTTGCCCAGGCTGGAGTGCAGTGGTACGATCTCTTGGCTCACTGCAACCTCCACCTCCCAGGTTCAAGTGTTCAAGTGATTCTCGTGCCTCAGCCTCCCGAGTAGCTGGGATTATGGGTGCCCACCATCATGTCTGGCTAATTTGTGTATTTTTAGTAGAGACGAGGTTTCACCACGTTGGCCAGGCTGGTCTTGAACTTCTGGCCTCAAGTGATCTGCCCTCCTCAGCCTCCCAAACTGCTGGGCTTACAGGTGTGAGCTATGGGGCCCAGCCACCAGTGAGCTTTCTCTTGCCGAATCCATCTTATTTCTCTGTGCTTGTCTTTCTGAATTTAGTGGTATTTCACATAGTAAACCCTCTCCTTAGAGAACATTTTTTTCATGGCTTCTGTGATACCACACAACACTGGCTTTCTTCCTGTTTCATTGACTACTACTTTTTAAAGTTCTCCTTTTATGAAACTCCTCTCTTCTACCTTTAAATACTAGAGGGCCCCACTATTAAGTTCTGGGCCCTCAACTGTAACTACAGTTTCTTCCTTTGTGATCTCATCTGTTCCATAGCTATCATTATTTAAACTGATAACGATTTCCAAAGTTCATGTAAAGCATAGACCTCTCACCTGAGTTTCAGACTCTATTTTGATGTCTAATAAATAAGTTGAACTTACCTTGTCTAACAAGGAGTGTTTGATCCCTCCCCCACCCCAAACTGTTTTTTTCCATCTCAGAAAATGGCACCACTATCTACCCATTTGCTCAAGCCTGAAGCCTTAGATTCACTCACAGTCCACCCCCTCTTTCCTCATGTCCTGCATCAGCAACATCTACCATCTCTAACTTCAAAGTGTTTCTAATTTTTCTATTTCTCCCTCTCCCTCCCCTTCTCTCCCTTCCTCCTGCCAACATCCTGGTCCAAACTATCATCACCTATTTCCTGTACTACTGCCTAGACTATTCTCCTGTAAGCCATTCTTTTCAGAGCAATCATTGTGGTCATTTAAGAAAATCGTGCCGGGTGTGGTGGCTCACGCCTGTAATCCCAGCACTTTGGGAGGCTGAGGTGGGCAGATCACAAGGTCAGGAGATCGAGACCAACCTGGCTAACACAGTGAAACCCTGTCTCTACTAAAAATACAAAAAATTAGCCGGGGGTGGTGGTGGGCGCCTGTAGTCCCAGCTACTCGGGAGGCTGAGGCAGGAGAATGGCATGAACCTGGGAGGCGGAGGTTGCAGTGAGCCGAGATCGCGCCATTGCACTCCAGCCTGGGTGACAGAGCGAGACTCCATCTCCAAAAAAAAAAGAAAAAGAAAATCATAAGTCATGTCATGCTCCTGCTTAGAACTCTCCAGTGGCCTCCCTTTGTACATGTTGAAATCCTAACCCCTTACATGGCTTACAACAAGCTCTTATACTTTCTGACCCCTGCACTTCTCTCCAGTCTCATGTCATACTCATACCATCCTCAGCCAGGCCCACTACATTTCAACTACAGGCCTTCAGTTTCTTCTTTCAGTACAGTGGACTCTCCCAGTCTCCGGACTTTGCCTTCTTTTTTTTTTTTTTTTTAAATTGAGACAGTCTCCCTCTGTCACCCAGACTGGAATGCAGTGGCACATTCTTGGCTCATTGCAACCTCCACCTCCTGGGTTCAAGCAATTTTCCTGCCTCAGCCTCCCGAGTAGCTGGGATTACAGGCATGCACCACCACACCCAGCTATTTTTTGTATTTTCGGTAGAGATGGGGTTTTGCCATGTTGGCCAGGCTGGTCTTGAACTCCTCACCTCAAGTGATCTACCCGCCTCGGGCTCCCAAAGTGCTGGGATTACAGGCGTGACCTACCGCACCTGGCCTGACTCTGCCTTCTTTTTCCCTTAGTCTGGAATATATTCCTGCAGCTCTTCACATAACTGGTTTCTGTTCACCTTTCAGATCTCACCGTTCAGTTGAAAAGTTACTTCCACAGAGGCTTTTTAAAGTTAAAGTTTAGGCTGGACGTGGTGGCTCACACCTGTAAACCCAGCACTTTGGGAGGCTGAGGTGGGCGAATTGCTTGAGCCCAGGAGTTTGAGACTAGCTTGGGCAACATAGTGAGACCCCATCTCTATAAAAAAAATTTTTAAAAATAAATGAAGTTTACATTTAAAGTTACCCTCCCCACTTAGCTTCCCACCACCTATTCAATTCTGATCTTATTTTCCTATTTTATTTTCTTTTAGAACTCATCACTTTCTGAAAGTATCCTACTTGTTTATTTACCTATTCACTAGAATGCTTGAGAGTAAGGACCTTATCTGTTTGTTCATCACTGTTTCCTTAGCAGTTAGAATAGTGTGTGATGTCATCACATAGAAGATGAAGGTAAAAAAGAAAAAAGAAAAAAGAATAGTGCCTGATACATAGTAGGCCCTAAAGAAATATTTGGTGAGTGAATGAATACATTTCATTTTCTCCAGGCTGTAAGATCTTTGAGGTCAGAGACTGTATTTTCCAGCATTGTATCCCTGCTCCTAGTGTGGTGTCTTCTCACGGTACAAACAACTTAGTATTTTAAAAGTTGGGTTTATTGCCAGCCATGGTGTGCACACCTGTAGTCCCAGCTACTCAGGAGGCTGAGGCGGGAGGATTGCTTGCGCCCAGGGATTCAAGGCTGTGGGGTGCTATGTTTGTTCTTGTGAATGGCCCATGCACTTCAGCCTGGACAACATACTAGACCCTGTCTCAAAAAAGAGTACACACACACACATTTTAAAAATACATTTGGATTTACTGAGGTATCTTTTACATATGGTAAAAGTCACCCTTTTCCTTGGCTACTGGATACCATTAAAAAACATTTTTAAAATGTAAAAATAAAGTCAGTCTTTTTAATTGTATAGTTCTGTGAGTTTTGTCAAATATATCCAGTTTATAAATAATACCACAGTGAGATACAGAACATAATAAATGTTTGCTTTGTAGTAAGTGAATCGCTAACAAAATCAGTAATCAACCATCAGTATTGGTGCTGTGTGGGCACTGCCAGCTGATCAGCCTCACTGCTATTAACATAGTTCATTTGTCATGCAGGTGAACGGGAGGTTGGAACAGAGGCAAAAATGCTGCTGTTGGCCCGGGAAGATAAGAAACTTCAGTGCTTGGGACTACAGAGCAGGCAGCCGGCAAGTGGTTCCTATATGGCCTTTGAACTCTGAGGCAACCTGGGTCGTTCTGTTTCTTAGAAGGCTATTTTGGAAACATTTCTACTTGCTCCCTGTGTTCACTTTTGAGAAAGCTGCCTAAGTAAGAGGAAGTACAGCATAATGATTAAGAGTGTGGGATTTGAAATAAGGGCAACATTTAAATCCCTGTTTGTTTGTTTGTTTTTTGAGACAGAGTCTCACTCTGTCGCCCAGGCTGGAGTGCAGTGGTGCAATCTCGGTTCAGCTTACTGCAACCTCCGCCTCCTAGGTTCAAGTGATTCTCCTGCGTCAGCCTCCCGAGTAGCTGGGATTACAGGCCTACCACCATGCCTGGCTAATTTTTATATTTTCAGTAGAGACGGGGTTTCATCATGTTGGCCAGACTAGTCTCAAACTCCTGACCCATGTGATCTACCTTCCTTGACCTCACACCTGGGAGTGCAGGTGTGAGCCACTGCACCCGGCCCTAAATCCCAGTTCTTGTGCAACACTTGCAGAGAATAAAAAAATAAAATAAATCTCAGTTCTTATGTTAATACTTAATGATTCCAGCATTGGACAAGTTACTTAACCTCTCTGAGCCTGCTTCCTCATCACTAAACTGGGCATAATAGGGTATATGATGAGGATTAAATGCTCTACTGTTTTGTGATCTTTGTTAAGTCACTTTCCTTCTCTGGGCCTTAGTGTGCTATATGTAAAATGATGAAGTTGTATAGATTTTCTTTCTTTATGAGTCCTGCTACCTCTTAGGTAATATGAAGAAATTCTGAGTAAAGAACTCATGCGGCTGGGAACAATGGCTCATGCCCGTAATCCCAGCTTTCTGGGAGGCCCAGAAAGGGTAGATTGCTTGAGTCCAACCAAGAGTTCAAGACTGGCCTGGGCAAAAAACCCATCTCTATTAATAATACAAAAAATGGGCTAGGTGTGGTGGCATGCACCTGTAATTCCAGCTACAGCTACTTGGGAGGCTCAGATGGGAAGATCACCTTAGCCTGGAAGTTCGAGGCTTCAGTGAGCCAAGATTGTGCCACTGTACTCCAGTCTGGGGAACCAGAGTGAGACCCTGTCTCAAAAAAAAAAAAAAAAAAAAAAAGACTCATGTATTCAGGACTCTTGATCAATTAATGAACAGACCATTAGTTGGAGTTTCTTCCTACATCTGAATTTTTGCTGGGAAGATTATGCTGTTAACTAAATTCTCTCTTCCCAGAGATTAGATTTTTAAAATTTCCGTCTAGCTCCTGTAATTGTCATCCAGACAACTTTAATGATTTGGTTTGGCCACAGCGTTTGCTGTTTTCATTTCATCTTATTACTTCATTGTGCTAGTGATATTTCCATTTTCAAAGTTTGTTTCAGGAACATTACCATTTTTGCTAATATCGCCTTTGTACTTGAGTTTTCACACTGGCTTTTACTTCCAGAGGGAAATCAGGTTTTTTTGTTTATTTTGTTTTTTGCCTTTTCTTTTTAGAATGTTTGGGGAAGACATAATCAGTTTGAGCTAACAGTAAGAAGTAAATGAAAATCTAATAATTTCTTTTTCAGATTCATGGGGAGAACTGTGATTCTTTACATCGCTACTTTATTTAAGCCTGTTTATTTTCCTACAAAATACCCTCCTTCAAAAGGTTGAAGTGACATGGAACAAAACTTACATGTGGGAATTGCAAGTGTTTCTCAAATAGAAGGTTGTCATGAAAAAGGGGAAAAGAAGGAATTTTGTTGGTGAGGATACTGTGAGATAGTGTGTTGAGTGGTAATAGTTGGAAAACTGCCACCTCAGAGTATATTACATAAACTGCTCAAGTCCTTAACCAGCCTCAGGTTCCTGAAATCTGGGAGTATTTCCTTCTCAGTTTTTGGTGAATGTGTAATTTACCATTTGAGAATAATTAAAGGGGGAAGGAAGAAAATATCTCAAAATATAGTGAAATTTTTCCTTTTTTGGTGCCTGTTTATTCTTGGAAACAAATTAATCTCTAAACAGCATTTTTGCCTCCTACTTGTTCCCAGGTGTTCCTCTTTATTGGCTCAGATGCTTTCAACTGCTGTACTTTTCTCTCTGGCTTCTTGCTATTGGCTGGGACTCAAGATGGAAACATTTATCAGCTGGATGTGAGGAGTCCAGGGTGAGTCACTATTCATTTACATGATGCAGGTCTTCTACAGAGTGGAAATTTTTATTGGCTTTAACGTTGATTTAGCCTAGCATATAGATGACTATTGAATCAAGGGTATATTTTTCCGTTTACAAAGGTTTTCTGGTCTGAATTTTCTGATTGTTCTTATTATTCCTGGACTCATTAAAGTATATGATTCATACTATTATGATTGTCTGACTAATGATTGCTGTGAAAATTAAGCTTAAATATAAACTAACATTTCATTTAAATTGATTGTCTAGAACTTTTAACCTTAAAGAGCTCAGTAATTTTCTCTTACATTAGACCCTGGCTACCCTAAGATTGAAAGATTGAATTATTTTTATTTATTTATTTATTTATTTATTTTTTGAGATGGATTCTCACTCTGTCCTCCAGGCTGGAGTACAGTGGTGCTATCTCGGCTTATTGTAACCTCTGCCTCCCGGGTTCAAGCAATTCTCCTGCCTTAGCCTCCTGAGTAGCTGGGATTATAGGCGTGCGCCACCACACCAAGCTAATTTTTGTATATTTAATAGAGACAGGGTTTCCCCAGGTTGGTCAGGCTGGTCTCAAACTCCTGACCTCATTATCTGCCCGCCTCAGCCTCCCAAAGTGCTGGGATTACAGGCATGAGCCACTGTACCCAGCCCTGAAAGATTATTTTTAGTTTAAGGAACCCAGCTCTGTTAGTTATGTAGTTTTGATCATGACCTTTCTAAACAGGCTTTTCCTTGGTCTTAAAGATACCTAAAGAGAATCACACAATCTCTCTGTTGCAGGATTTAATAATTTCTACAATTCTGTCCCTTCTTCCTTTGATTTCCTTCCTTTTTTCAACTGATATTTATTGAAAATAGCTTCTGTGGGCATCAGGCTTGGTTCAAGGCACTGAAAAACAGAAATAAAAGGTACAGACTCTGGGCTGGGTGTGGTGGCTCACTCCTGTAACCCCAGCACTTCGGAAGGTCAAGGTGAGTGGATCACCTGAGGTCAGGAGCTCAAGACCAGCCTGGCCAACATGGCGAAACCCCGTTTCTACTGAAAATACAAAAATCAGTTGGGCATGGTGGCGCGTACCTATTATCCCAGCTGCTAGCGTAGCTGAGGCAGGAGGATCGCTTGAACCTGGGAAGTGGAGGTTTCAGTGAGCTGCGATCATGCCACTGAACTCCAGCCTGGGCAACAGAGCGAGACTCTATCTCAAAAACAAAAACAAAAAACAAAAAACAGACTCTGCCTTTGAGACACCTGGAGTCTAATGGTAAAGATGGACATGTAAAAGACTGTTGTGCAGTGTGATCGCTTGTCTGACAGGGCTAGCCACAGAAATTTAAGGAAGCACCAGAAAAGAGAGGGAAGGAGGTAAGACTGCTTCTCCAAGGCAATGAGAAACATTGGATCTTGTTGAGTAGGAAGTTGCCAAGTAAAGAAGGAGGAAAAGAGCTGGGCTCGGTAGAATCCCATATATACAATCCTATATATGAAGGCGTGTGAAAGGGATTGTTTTCAGGAGTCTATGACAGGTATGTTCCCTGCATATGAGGGCAGTGGTGAGAAGTGATGCCAGCAGGAATACAGGAGCTGCTTTGACCTTACCTGCCATTCTAAGTTTATTCCAAGAGCAGGGAAGAAATTACAGTAGATGGTGACTAGCTTATACCTTTTCTTCCATCATTTCAGTTACTTAATATTTTTTTTTTTTTTTTTTTTTTTTTTTTGCCTCCACAGAGATAGGGAATCTCTGATCACTATTATAAAATCACCCTTACATATATATTAAATTGATTCTCACTCAGCTTTCTCTTTCTTTTTAGAGTCCTGACAATTTTAATATTTTACAACAAATCTTAATTCTTTCGTTAAGTGAAAAGGTTAATATACTGCTAATATTGTTATCTTCAACCCATGTCATACCTGCCTTAAAAACTCAGGATTTGGGTGGTGACTTAGTTCATGTTTAGAGACATGGATGGTTTTAAATGAATTACCTTAATCTGCCAGTTAAGGTTCTTGCCAGGAAAGAAACCATAGAAATGTTTAATCTTTCTCCACATTTTATCCTGTTTGCTCTTATGTGATTAGTACTATATACTGAATATGGTCAAGTATTGCTTTTGAAGAAAGAAAGTAAAATTTCCCCTTTCTTTGAATCCTAGGGCTCCAGTACAAGTCATCCACAGATCAGGAGCACCAGTTCTATCCCTGCTAAGTTTCAGAGATGGATTCATTGCTAGCCAAGGTGGGTCCATGGGCCAATTGAGAGAGATGCTTCTTTGTAGTTCAGTTAATTAAACATAGTTTTAAGTGTATAATCTCTGGCTGGGTTGGGGCATGGTCCCCCATGAGTCTTTGGCATATTGTACCTATCAATAGTTTTTATCACTCTGTGTTATGATTGTCTGTGTCCCCCTCCAGTTCAAGCTCCTTGAGGGTGGTGACTGTGCCTTATTCATTGTGTTATTCCCAGAATTTAGCTCAATGCCCACCACTCTTGTGCCCTAAGGGAGCTCACAATAAGGCAGACAGACATGTGAACATATGATTGCAGTCCAGTTTGATAAGGACTACATCAGAAGACTGCATGAGGAAATGGAGAATAGCTAATTCTAGAGGCAGGAGTGCTGTCAGCAAGGTCTTTGTGAACTAGGTGACATGTAAACCGATAAAGATTTCACCCACTGGAGATGTAAAGATGGACACTGAAAGCTGAAGCTTTTGTGTATGCAAAGTCATAGATGAGGCAAGGGGGGCAAAAGAAGAAGGGCACTAGCATTTCCAGAGAGCCTGCTATGTAGTAGGTACTGTGTTTGATGCTTTACATACATATTCTAGGTAAAGCGAGTACCTTGGTGTAGCCAGGACAAACTCTTTGGAATGGAGTTCAGGAATGATGTTGGGGAAATGCCTGGAACAAAGTGTACATTAAGGGACACTGGATCCTTGTAGGAATGATGCAGGTGAGGAGGACTGGACTATACAGCCTGGAGGGACTACCTACCTACCTTGAGCATTTCAGTATATCAGTTAGGATGTTTTGGGCTGTTATTTACAGAACACTCCGCTGAACATGGTTTAAACAGTTAGGAAAGTGTACTGCTTCACTTAACAAGAAGTCCAGAGTCCATTTCAGATTATATTAATTTAGTGATTTAAAAATAAAAGTCAACCAAGGAGACTAAAGAAACTTGACAGCTAAGTCAGTGGTATTCTAGACTGGATCCAGGATGTTAAGGAAAGACTGGTGGAAAAAAAAAAAGTACGTGTTTAGGTAATAGCAGTGTACCAATATTGACCTCTTAGTTTTGACAAATGTAAGGTGATAACATTTGGGAAAACCTGAAACTGAGTAAGGGCATATGGGAACTTTCTGTATTATCTTTAACTAACTTTTCTGTAAACCTAAAGTCACTCCAAAATACAATATTTTTATAAAACTTTTTTTTTTTTTTTAATTTAAAAAACAAATGGGCTGGGCACAGTGGCTCATGCCTATAATCCCAGCATTTTGGGAGGCTGAGGCGGAAGGATCACTTGCGCCCAGGAGTTTGAGACCAGCCCGGGCAACATAGAAGACCCTGTCTCTACAAAAAATAAAAATTAGTCAGCCATGGTGGTTCCTTTCTGTGGTCCCAGCTACTCAGGAAGCTGAGGTAGGAGGATCGCTTGAGTCTAGGAGGTGGAGGCTGCAGTGAGCCATGATTGTGCCACTGCATTTCACCCTGGGTGACAAAGCAAGACTCTGTCTCAAAAATAATTTTTTTAATTAAAAAAATATTAAAAAGATAGTGACTGGGCATGGTGGCTCATGCCTGTAATCCCAGCACTTTGGAAAGCTGAAGCGGGTGGATCCCTTGAGGTCAGGAATTTGAGACCACCCTGGCCAGCATGATGAAACCCTGTCTCCACTAAAAACACAAAATTACTGGGCATGGTGGCACACGTCCGTAGTCCCAGCTACTCAGGAGGCTGAGGCATTAGAATTGCTTGAACCTGGGAGGCGGAGGATGCAGTGAGCTGAGATCACGCCACTGCACTCCTGCCTGGGTGACAGAGCGAGACTCTGTCTAAAAAAAAAAAAATAAAATAAACATTAAAAAATAAAGATTGGGTCGCAGGGACTCACACCCTGTAATCCCAGCACTTTGGGAGGCCAAGGTGGATAGATCACCCTGAGGCCTCGATATTCTCACCTCTTCTCTCCTACCTGCAGGCCATTTTACTGATTGTTATCCCAGCACTTTGGGAGATCGAGGGAGGGTAGATCACCTGAGGTCAGGAGTTTAAGACCAGCGCTGGCCAACATGGCGAAATGCCATCTCTACTAAAAATACAAATATTTAGCCGGGCATGGTGGTGTGCACCTGTAACCCTGGTGAAACACTCCCTCAAAAAAAAAAAAAAAAAAAAAATCTCTGTTCAAGGTGATGTGTGGGTATATGGAGGAGTAGGAGGTGGAGAAGAGCTGACTCGTGCTCTACTTTGGTAACTTTTTTTTTTTTTTTTGGAATGTTAGAATTTCTTTTTTTTTTTTTTTGAGACAGGGTCTTGCTCTGTCCGCCAGGCTGGAGTGCAGTGGCAGCATCTCAGCTTCACCTGCAAGCTCCATTCCCGAGTTCATGCCATTCTCCTGCTCAGCCTCCCTGAGTAGCTGGGACTACAGGTGCCCGCCACCACGCCTGGTCTAATTTTTTGGTATTTTTTAATAGAGACGGGGTTTCACCGTGTTAGCGGATGGTCCGATTTCCTGAACCTCATTGATCGCCCGCCTGGCCTCCAAAGAGCGGATTACAGGGTGAGCCACTGCGCCTGGCCTGAATTTCTTGATCTATTACTTATGCTTACTAAGCACCAGCTTAATACTGCAGAAAATTTCAAATCACTGTTGATAACCCACTTTCTTTTCTCCCACCCGAATTCTTGATCAAGAGTTTTTCAAGTAAAGACATGCTCTTCTCTCTTGTGTATAAAACGTTGTGAAATAAAGGCAAAGTATTGTGTATATCTTGCTGGAAAATGCTGCTTAGGGCTCTGGAGATGGTGGCTGCCCCTGCTCCTTTCACTGTCCAGGTCTTGAAAGACTCTAGTTCATGAACTGTCTCTTCACAGAGCAATTGCTGCGTTTATCATTCTGAGGGTTGAAAACTTTCTTACAAAGTCTCAGTCCAGTCTCTTGCCTTAGCTGTTGTAAATAGGCCCTTATCACTTCATCTTCCTGTTTGTTTGCAGGTTTGGGATAAATTGCATTAAGTGGAAAACCGGGCTCTCCAGGAACAGGAAAGTTAGTGATTCCCAGTGTATACATTTCTTTCTCACCCTGGCTTTTGGAATTGCACTTTTGGAGTTCCTTTAGACACTCAGAAACGTAGAGAGAGATATATATCAAGGTCCTATCAGCTTCATTATTAACTTCATAGTTTTTGAAGAAGACATTGGCCTTGAAGTAATAGATGGCTTCATCCACAGTATCAATATCTTTTGTCTCTCTTGGGGCAGGTCCTTTGAATTGACTTCTGATAGGTAACAGTGCGATGTTTCCAATGAGTTCAGTGTCAGAATCCATGAGAGAAGAGTGGTAAGCTGGCATCTTGGTGGCTCCTGGGTTTCAACCCAGAGGAACAGATTTTTTGTACTTTTCTACTTTTCTGCTGGGAAGAAGGCAAGGCATAACTTCCAGTACTGATATCTAAAGGCAAAGGGAGTAAGATTATAGCTCTGTTTTCAGAGGACAAAACTGAGACCAGTAAGAGAAAGTTATCAGAAACCACATTCCAGTTAATTATAAAGGAAAAGCTTTCTTTTCCTTAAGAAAGAAGCTGCCCTTAAGGTAGTGAGCACCCCTGACTCTGGCGATGGGCAAGTGTAGGCTGTTTGGCCGCTCTGCCATGTGCTGTAGAGGGAGTTCTGTACTAGTTTAGAAGTTGGATATAGATGATCTTTGAGGTCCTTTGGAACTCTTTGATTATTATTGAGGAGATTTAAATTGCCAGATGAAACAAAATAAAAAACTTTTTTGATGGAAATTGCCAAACATATCTAAAAGTAGAGAAAATAGCACAGTGAACCTACTATACCCATTGTCCAACGTAAGCTATTATCAATATATGGCTAATCTTGTTTTACCCATTCCCTTGCATTCCTCATTTCATATATTTTGAAATATATCATGAGCATCTTATTTCACCTGTCAGCATTTCTATATGTCTCTCTCAAAGATAAGGATTCATTTTTGGAGAAGATGATTTTTAATAATAATGCAAGAAAGGGTAAGGTACTACCTTGTATATGCTGCTGCTTGGAATGTAGATTAACAGATAAATTTGGAAAACGGTTTTTCAGATTTCCAAAAAGTTTGAAAAGGTTAATTAATATCTGCTGATTCTTTTCCAGGTCTTTATATATACAAAGTCAGAAAAAACTGTATGCATAAAGACATTCATTTATGCACATGCTGTCAACCATGAAAAATAGGCACAAAAAATAGATAAAAATGTTAACAGTAATTGCCTTTGAATGGTAGATTGGGGTGATTTTTCTACCCCTGCTTTGTTTATTTTTAAAGTTTTGTTCAATGAGCATGTACTACTTCTATTTATTTATGTATTTATGTATTTATTTTGAGACAGAGTCTCATTCTGTTGCTTAGGTTGGAGTGCAGTGGCACCATCTTGGCTCACTGCAACCTCTGCTTCCTGGGTTCAAGCAATTCTCCTGCCTCAGCCTCCTGAGTATCTGGGATTACAGGCGTGGACCACCACGCTCAGCTAATTTTTTTTGTATTTTTACTACTTTTATATTAACAAAAAGAAATCACCTCATTAAGCAGTTTATAGATCACCCCAAGTTTCATTTGTCCATGCTCTTTTAAGAATTAGATATACTTTTACTTTCTTAGTGTTAACTGTCCTCTTTCTCCTAGTGTATACAGTCAAATTTACAGATTGAGGAATAATCTGGGAACATTTTAATAGGGAATATCTACACAAATATTTCTTTAAAAAATGTTAAGGACTTTTTTTAGACATTCCCTATTAAAAATAATCTAGGATAAGTTTATAAATACACACACACACTCACACACACACACCTGTGGTTGCTTGCTCTGTGCCTTTGGCTGGCATTGCTAATCAAAGACATCCCTTCTTCCCACAGAACTCGCACTTGCTCTTCAAATCCACCCCAGCTCAGCATTCTAGGCAGCCACTATGGGTTATCATAATTGGCCCACATAGGCCGGGCATGGTGGCTCACGCTTATAATCCCAGCACCTTGGGAAGCTGAGGCGGGTGAATGGATCACCTGAGGTCGGGAGTTTGAGACAAGCCTGGCCAACATGGTGAAACCCCATCTCTACTAAAAATACAAAAATTACCCAGGTGTGGTGGCGGTCACCTGTAATCCCAGCTGCTTGGGAGGCTGAGGCAGGAGAATTGCTTGAACCCAGGAGGTGGAGGTTGCAGTGAGCTGAGATCGCGGCATAGTACTCCAGCCTGGACAACAAGAATGAAACTCTGTCTGAAAAAAAAAGATGGCCCACATAATAAGATCTATTTGCCATTCTGGGCCTTTGGACCATCTTCTTTACACTAGTGATCTACAGAAGCAAATAAAAATAGTGAGTGTTTAAACTCTGGATAGAGTTTTCTCTTAGTTATATCAGTTTTCTTTCTGCCTTTCAGGTGATGGAAGCTGTTTTATTGTCCAGCAAGACTTAGACTATGTCACTGAGCTCACTGGGGCTGACTGTGACCCTGTGTACAAGGTACAGGCCTGAGACAACACTAGACCTGGGTGATTCTCATGGGAGATCTAAGGCTTTTATGAGACTGAATCCAGATACCTTGTGGTCATTAGGGATGATAAAATAGTGCTTATTGTATAGGCAGTGTGGTAGGATGGGAAGAAATTAAGAGCTTAAGTCAGAGGTGACGTCTGGGCCAGGCATGGTGGCTCATGCCTGTAATTCCAGCACTTTGGGAGGCTGGGGTGGGTGGATCGCTTGAGCCCAGGAGTTGGAGACCAGTCTGGGCAATATTTATATATCTAATCAAAAAGCAAATGTTATTATTTGTTTTATTCTGATAAGGAAACTGAGACTCAATACAGTAAATACCAGAGGCTTCCTTGGACAGTCTATACACCTGCTACACTGTGTAATCACAGGCAGGGAGCAAGAGACCTTTGTGACCAGAGCAATTTCATTTCAAGGTGCAATTTGTGACAGGGTCAGGTAGACCAGAATGGACATATTCCAGAACTTAGAAATATTAAATCCTAGGAGCTCCAGGTGGAACATCTAAGAAGTCAGATTAAGAAAACAGGATGAGGCTGGGCGCAGTGGCTCACTCCTGTAATCCCAGCACTTTGGGAGGCCAAGATGGGACAATTGCTTGGGCCTGGGAAGTTGAGGCTGCCATGAGCTGTGATCGTGTCACTGCACTCCAGCCTGGGCGAAGAGTGAGACCCTGTCTCAGAAAAAAAAAAAAAAGTTCATCACTTACTGGCTCTAGAAACTTAAAAACTTACTTTACCTCACTAGTCTGTCAATTCATCTGTAAAATGAAGATAGTAATATGAAAACTCCTTGTAAATACATTCTATAAATATTACTCATTATTATTATTATTAAGACTTCTGGACTGATTTTCTCATTTGATTAGAATAGAAAGAGAAAAACAAAAGGGGAAATATTTATTGACCAGACACTGTGCTGAACGTTTTATATACATTATCTCATGTAATCTTTGTTACCATTTGTTGAGGTGTAGGTATTATTATTCCTATTTTTTCCTATAATTTAAAAAAAGTTGTACAATTAATATCTGTAAAAGTTCAAACAATACAGAATGATACAGATTTAAAAGTCTCCTTTACGACCTTTTTGGTTCCCTTCCTCTTTTCCAGAAGTAACTAGCGTTAACAGTTTGGCACATATTTTTCAAGACTATTTTCAGAGAATTTGTACACTTACATCTTTATGTATTGATGTGAATAATATACTTTTATCTTCAGTTTGTACATAATTGAGACTATTCTCTATATAGTGCCCTGTGACTTTTATTTAAATTACCGTCTTAGAGCTGTTTCCAGGTAAATGCATATAGATCTATTTCTTTTTTCTTTTTTTTTTTTTTGAGACAGAGTTTCGCTCTTGTTACCTAGCCTGGAGTGCAATGGCACAATTTCAGCCCACTGCAGCCTCTGCCTCCCAGGTTCAAGCGATTCTCCTGCTTCAGCCTCCCAAGTAGCTGGGATTACAGGCATGCGCCACCACGCCTGGCTAATTTTGTATTTTTAGTAGAGACAGGGTTTCTCCATGTTGGTCAGGCTGGTCTCGAACTCCCGACTGAGGCCTGCCTTGGCCTCCCAAAGTGCTGGGATTACAGGCGTGAGCCACTGTGCCTGGCCATCCATTTCATTTTTAAAACTTCTTGTGTAGTGTTCCAGCCGGGTGCGGTGACTTACACCTGTAATCCCAGCACTTTGGGAGGCTGAGGCGGGTGGATCATGAGGTCAGGAGATTGAGACCATCTTGGCTAACACGGTGAAACCCCATCTCTACTAAAAATACAAAAAATTAGCCAGGCGTGGTGGCAGGTGCCTGTAGTCCTACCTACTCTGGAGGCTGAGGCAGGAAAATGGCGTGAACCCGGGAGGCGGAACTTGCAATGAGCCAAGATGGTGCCACTGCACTCCAGCCTGGGCGACAGAGCCGAGATTCTGTCTCAAAAAACAAAAAACAAACAAAATTCTTGTATAGTGTTCCATATTTTGAATCAACATATTTCCATTGTACAAATGGGGCAACTGGGGCCCGGGGGGTTGAGAAAGTTGCCCTAGGTCATGCAGCTAGTTGGTAGTAAAGCTGAGATTAAGCTAACTCCAGAATTCATGCTGTTTTCCTTGAAGAGTTGATGAAATCCTCCTCAGAAAAAAAGACACATATTCAGTACTTTTTTGTATTCAATTTTATAAGGTTCAAGAGTAGCCAAGCTCATCTATGAACCATCTCCTCCCCAGAGGCAGACCATCTGTGCTCAACCTGAACAACACTAATGGGTTTGCTTTCCACTTGGACCGATTAGTTTCTCTGTTCTATAGTCATGGGTGCATCCCAACCATTGGTGATTGGGATGCTGGCATCACTATGAGCCAGCAATTTTTTTTTTTTTTTTTTTTGAGACGGAGTCTTGCTCTGTCACCCAGGCTGGAGTGCAGTGGCCAGATCTCAGCTCACTGCAAGCTCTCTCCTGCCTCAGCCTCCCGAGTAGCTGGGACTACAGGCGCCCGCCACCTCGCCCGGCTAGTTTTTTTGTATTTTTTTAGTAGAGACGGGGTTTCACCGTGTTAGCCAGGATGGTCTCGATCTCCTGACCTCGTGATCCGCCCGTCTCGGCCTCCCAAAATGCTGGGATTACAGGCTTGAGCCACCGCGCCCGGCCTGAGCCAGCAATTTTTGTAAGCACATAATCATGGATGTAATTCTGTTGCCTTCATCAAGCTTTCTCAGACTCCCTGGGACTAGTGTCTGTCAATCATAAGCCTCCATCTTTTTGAAATGGAAGAATCCCAGGCTTCCTTTTAACTGTGAATTCTTGTGTTCTAGGTAGCCACATGGGAGAAGCAGATCTACACATGCTGTCGAGATGGTCTTGTACGACGCTACCAGCTTTCTGACCTCTGACTTCTTGGAAAGAGCAGTCCTGGTTAGTGAAAAGGTTTGACCCTGATCAACAATGAGCAGAAACATCATCAGACCTTCCCAAGGACCATGGCCCTTAGTGTCTTGGGCACCCCTTGGAAATCACAGAAAGTCAGCTGTACTGGCTATATGGAACTCTCATGCCAAGACCTACTTTGAATTGAATAGGAAGGTCACTGGGCCCACTGCATTTGTCCCAACTTCTCCTTGTATAAACGTACCCCAGCAACACAGGGCAAGGATATAGATGCTTTTAGTTTGTTCTTAAACCAGTTGTGTTAAATGTTTACAAGGATCTCAGTACTAAAACTTGTTTTCTGGAGGAAATAAAGAAAATATGTTTGGAGGTGCCTAAATATGAAAAACTTTGTTAAAAACTCTTACTCCAGCAAAAAGTTGGTTAGGATGATGGAATTCCTTCCTCAGCACTCCCTGTTGCCTGACCATAGAGAAGGCCTGCTTGGCAGTAGCAACAAATGTCCTGTAAGAGATTCTTATGCAGGTGGTAACCAACTGTCCCAGTTTGCTTGGAACTAAGGGGTTTTCTGTGACTTGAAACTTGCAGTGCCAAAACTGGGGTAGTCTCAAACCAACATAATTGGTCAGCCTATATGTAGGTGAGGAAATTGAGTCATAATAATTGTAAAGGCATTGGCTGTCAAAGTGTGGTTCTTAGAACAGCAGCATCAGTATCACTGGGGAACTTGATGGGAAATAGAAATTGTTAGAGCCAATCCTAGACTTAAATCAGAAATTCTACGGGTGCAGCCAGCAATCTGTAGTTTAACAAGGATTCCAGGTGATTCTGATGTATGCTAAAGCTTGAGAGCCACTGATCTAGAGGAAGAAATGGTGGAGGGCACTTTAGTCACAGCTGGAACCCAGGGCTCAAAATGACAAGATTGGTCTGTAGGAGATGAGGCCACAGGGGTTGGCAGAGCCCAGCTAGTGAAGGAGTAGGAATATCAGCTAAGGAGCTCAGACTTCAAGTGGTTGGCAGTGGGGAACCACTGAAGGGTTTTAAGCAAGAGAATGGCATGGTCCTTTTTTCTCTAAACATAAAAATGGAATCATAATGTATGTATTCCATGGCTTATTTTCACTTAATGTCTCTGAGATTTTCCATCTCAGTACATGTAGATGTTCCTCATTCTTTTTTAATAATGTCCAGAATGGGGATACCATATTATTTATATTTTTGAGATTATTAAAGAAAAGTTTCTTGAAAGATGTGACACTTGAGCTGGGACATGCAGATTAAGATTTCAATTTATTTAAGGGAGGAAGGTCATTTCATTCCTGGCTGGAGTAATAATATT